AATAGCGAGCCACATCTTGTGCAATAAAGTTCAGGCAGTTTGGACCACGTTCAGCTAGAAGTAATGTTCAGGAAGCCAGACAGGGAAAAACGCAAAATGTATTTTGTAAGATTAAGTATGGCCGATAGCATTAAATGAAGCAATGAAACAACGATCCTCGCAACCTTGCGTGCTTTTTGGTTTAGTATGTGCAGGCAGATCAACAAGCAAAGGAGGAAAGAATGCTGAGGATCCAGGTGATCCAACGACACTACCATGGAACGGTCTGGACCTCTTAATAAGCAGCTATAACTGCAAGCCTCTATCGAGCAATGAAGTCACGAGTGACAAAACACCATCTGACGTTCTCAGTCTGTAAGCACAGCAAGGAATCGCTCTTTGGAATCTGGAAAAAAGAATTTAGCTCAGCATAGAAGGACAGATAGATGTCGGAATTGGATTTATTATCAATAGAAGATCACCTATTGTTAGTTTCACTTATCACAAACCATTGTATTCCTGCTCCGGCTAGATTTTAGTAAAATCCTCAACATTGTCCGAGTCTGCGCTTCACCAAGGCCAGCGATGATGATGAGATGGCATAGTTCTTCACCACGCTCGAATCATCAACAGTCATTATGAGGGATTTTGACAGTATGACAGGAATTATAGATTTAGCAGCGATGGTGTATAGGCAAAAACTGTTTGCTGGCAATAATTTGTTTTTAAAAGATTCAAGGTGAAGATAGTCTGGTACGTTCCAGATATAAAAATGAAGGAAATCGGCTACCACTTCCTCAGTGATGTCCTCATAATGCTTTCGTTCAAAATGTGGAAACCATCAAACTTGTTGCTAACACGAATACATATTATCTCGGTTTATAAAAAAAGATATTGTACACGGCAAGTCGGCGTAATAATCAATGGGGAGGAGGTGAAAGAAGTCACATCAACCGAGACTGCACGCTTCATTGACAACCTTCCCAAGTGTCTAAAAAGAGACGAATGCGCCTAATCCGACGGTCAAATTT